ACAACACTGGAGCGGCTTCAGGGACGTCAGAAGTATATGACTGTCTTTGAGTGGTCCAGCCAAAGCCTAGACTTAACCCCCACAGAACATCTGTAGAGAGACCTGACGATGACAGTTCACAGACACTTCTCATCCAATCTGATAGAGCCTCAGAGGATCTGCCAGGAAAAATGGGACTTACCCAAGAAGACTAGAAGCTGTAACTGCTGCCAGAGGGGCTTCTAGTACTGAATGAAAGGTCTGAGTGCTTTTGTAAATGAACAATTTTAATTTTTGATTTCTAATAAATTTAAATTTAATTTATTTTTTCACATTTCACATGTTTTACACTTACATGATATGACTTTGTCATATTGGAGTGTTGACTGATACTGATTTTATCCACTTAAAATTAAACCCACAATCACAATAAAGTATAAAGAAGTGAAGGCATCTGAATACTTCCTGAAGCCACTGTATGCGTAATAAAACATAATTATGTTTGAGCAGCATGTCGTCAGAGTGTCAATAAAAGATTTGTCATACTAAGATAAGACCTTAGCTGTTTGACCTTATTGTTACCTGTTTTACCATCACAAGTGTTTTCACCTCTTCTGGCTGATGAGACACCTGGTCAGGTGAAAGATGGGTGGAGCTTTGCAGGACATCATGTAATGGCAGCAAACTGTCTACTCAGGAGAACTGGGCTTGTACATGGTCACACAAGAGGTCCAATCAGGGGACAGCATATGTGAAAAGACTGTGTGGTTGGACTACGGGTGTGTAGGGTCTCTAAAAGTTAAAACCTGACATTTTGCCATGCTGGATTTCCAACTGGGTAAAATTGGCATCTCCCCTCCCAGAAACCCCATGCTGAAAACAGATTTAACTTCTGTACCTGAGGTAACAGATACTGGCATCTCTATAAGTGACATTTCTAATGTGATAAAATGAATGACTTCTTAAAGGAGCATTCTGCAGTGTTTCCAGTTTTTGTGAAGCAAAAACTTGAAGTGAAGTGCATCATAAACTAAAAGAAAAGCTGCTTAAAGGTGGTTCCTGTAAGCTTTTATTGTGCAGCTATGATGTCCTGTCTTAGAGGTCTCAAATCGAGTTTCAATAGGTGACCACATGTTATTAATGCTTTAGGGCCCCTTAATGAGTTAGTCTGGCCTCATTTACATCTTTCAGCAAATAACTTAAATTGTAAAAGGTAAATCATATAAACTTGTAGCGTTTCAACATCTTTAGGCATACAGGTATTGTAGAGATGCATATAACAGGTGCAGATCCTGCTGTAACAATGTGCCACTGAATGGTTTCTTTTTGTGTGACTATCATGGAGGAGCGGTAGTGCTGATGCTGCTGCTGCTGCTGCTGCTGCTGTTGCTGCTGTGTGAATGTCATCCCACATCCAAGGATAAGGGGAAATTCCCTCTAAAGCTCTTCCTCCCACAGCTTGATATCTAAACCATCCATCGGTGACTGTTGCCAAGAAGACATGTGAGCAGCAGTAGCTCAGCGAGTTAGAGCAAATGAGTGAATCTTCTGTTTGTGACGAGCAGCTCAACAAAGTTACTCCATCTTACAGCACTATATGTAATTTCTGCTCGGTTTTACTAAATTTAAATGGAACAAATTGGTTGATCATCCTTCTTCACAATAAAGAACATCAGATTGCCAATTACAGTATCGAGCATCACAGGCTTTGAAGACAGGACATGTGATCCCTGGCTCGCTGAGAAATATGAGCATGATAGAAAGTGCAGTGAAACAAATATCGGACAGTGTTTCCATTCAAGTGAATTATTCTTATTCTGTCCTATAAACAAATCTTTGTTAACTTTTGAAAGCAGTCTGTATTTCTCTTATTATAAAGGCTCATAAGTAGTAGAACATACATACATACAGTTCAAGGCACAGAGGGGTTTTGCCAGAACTGTCTTGGTCTGTTGTGACCAGTAACTCATGGTGGCTAAGATTAGCTAATTTCAGCCTCCTTTATTGGCTATTTTTGTGTTTTGTTATCATGTTTAACTGTCTTGAGTCACTTCGCTAACTCTTATGACAATTCATCTTCTTGTGCTGTTACCAGAGACTGTAAATAAACATGGATGTAGCCTCTGTGACGTCACCAACAGGTTTCTTAAGAGCAGTTATGAAGCTCAGAGTGAGCTGCTTCGCCTTCGCCAAGCGGCAGCCTTCAAGGCTGAAAAATGAAGCCAACACAGAAGTTCCAAAAACTCCACTTCATCTAATGACCACTTGAGGCTGACTCTATCAGTGAGTCAATCTCCATAGACTCCCATGTTAAAATGCACAACTTTATAGCAGAAATAAACATGTTTACAGGCTGATCTCTTGGTCTCTACTGCTAATTTCCTCTTTCATAACAACTGTACGGGGGGTGAATTTTTTCACTCATTTAAAGTTAAAAGTCATGAAGTTCTGCATAATTGAGGGGGTGCCGCTTTGAGTGAAAGGAGGTTGAGTGTATGTTTCCACAAGCTGGCATGCACTGAAGTTCTGGATCCACACACGAGTGACCTCTTTAAATAAATATCAAACACCCTCCACACATTTGTAAACTCAGAAATCTGCAAATACACAACTAACAAAAATAAAATCCATTGTGAATCTATTGTTCATTTGTGAATCAAAAAAGCGTTTGTGTGCTTATGCATTTTACACACACAGGTTTGAGACAAATAATCCAAACAAAAATCCACTTGGGCCATTTTCAGAAAGTGATCATCTACTGATGATGTCATTTCCACATTTCAAAATAAAAGCACACAGTCTTTCTGTGAGCTTTTTCTTTTTTTCCAAATCAGCCATAAGTAATATGCATTCATTATTTTATTATGCTAATGTGGTTAGTGTGGTGGTTTATTTATTATGTAATGCACACTTTCATATAGGCTACATTTCTGAGTATGAAAGTTGAGGCACAAGGATGTTTGTGGGCAACTTGCAGGTCCCTGAAGCAGTGGGGTTGATGAGCTATCTGATGATCTGAGGATCTGATGAAATTAGTTAATTCATCCTTTGGGGAACATGAGCATCTGTTCCAAAACTCATATTGTAATCCATCCAAAAGTTCTTGAGACAAAAAACAAAAACTCGGTGACACTGGATGAAAATTTAAAGTCTCACCAAAGTCACTTGGATTCATTGTCTAGAAACCATGGATGTTATACAAAAATCAATGCCAAACATTCAAAAGTTGTTGAGATATTTCAGTCTGGATCAACCCAATGACTGACATTGACATCCCTAGGTAGAGCTATGCAGCTAGCTTGGCTATAAATGGCACAGACATTTGTGTGGTTACGCAGTCGACAGTCCTAAATTATACAGTTATGAAGAACAGCAAAGTAATCAGGGTGACCTGGAAGAAAATTAGATTCGCTAAACTCATTAAAGCTTTTTAAAGCAACATTTAAATTGGTTCTTTAGGCAGTTTGCAACAACAGGAGGCATGAAGTAACAATCAGCTCTGAAATATTAACCTCTATAACGATTTTCAGAATACTGAGGAGAAAATAACATGGCTGTATACACGTTTAACTCTACAAAAACATACAATGCTATGATAATCTCAGATTTATATTCCGGAATTCCAGAGGTGGAAAGTAACTAAATACATTTACTCACGTTACTGTATTGAATACTTTTTTTGTGTATTTTGTATTTTTTAAGTACAATTTAAAATCGGTATTTTGTATTTTACTTGAGTACGTTTTGACTCAAGTATTGTACTTAGTTACTTTATAAATCCTATCCGTTACTGAGTAAAAATAACAATTCAACCTACAGGGGAAAAATACACGCCAGAACCATAGACAGTAAAACAATGGCCAGAACCAACAGTGACAAATGATGAGGGTGAGAGAGAAAACGTGAAAGTAAGCATGTTTAATGTTGTACCACTAAATGGATGAGCTCAACTAACTTTAAGCTGCTACTTAAACTGAACAAGAAGTTCAGTTGTTGTGAAGTTGTTGTTATTGCACTTACATTTGTTACACTTGTTCTTTAATTAAAAACAAAATAGTTTTGGATTTCTGACCCCTTGTCCTATTTTTACTACCCTCACACCCCACACAAAGAAAGTAACTAAGTAACTTTTACTTAAAGTACATTTCAAATGAACTACTTTTTACTTTTACTTGAGTACATTTTCAGATGAGTACTTTTACTTCTACTTGAGTAATATTTCATCAAAGTATTGGTACTTTTACTTGAGTACAATATTTTTGTACTTTTTCCACCTCTGCGGAATTCACAGGAATGGAGTAGAAAAGGAGCAGAACAACTAATGGAGACATGTAACATCTACACTAGCAAAAGACTAAAGACTTGCACTACACATGAAACACAACTGAAAATATGTGATATAAAAGAGATACAGTATATAGATAGATTTTAAAGGTTAAAGAGTCTGTATTGGATCACTATTATCTCCTGTCTCAGGCTTCTCTTTGGAGATCTAGTAGCAACAGGTCGGTGAGCCAATCAGAAGAGAGGAGGCTGTGAGCCTCTATTCTGATTGGCCGACTGCTTTCTGAGTGATCCATTAAAGATAAAGCAGGTGTCAGGTAAACACTCAGAGAAACCAAATCTTGCAAGGCTGGATGGTAGGTCCAGGTGGGCGGGGCTTGGGGCATGGCTGAGAGCGCTGGCTGCTTTGTTGTGACATCACAAAGTTCCAGAAGTCCTGACAGCTGGTTTTAAGGCTCAGTTTCTGAATACAGGCTGTGTGCATTTCTCTGTGGACTGAGCGCTTTGATAATTTCACAGTATTAATATAGAACCTAGACTTGCTTTATAATCAAACAACACATGGAAATCTACTTTTCTAGGATCTTTTAGCAATATGTGATTTATTGCTGCTTGTGTTTTATAAATACCAACCTCCCCAAAAATTAAATTTGATAATAGGCTACATGTAAGCTGACATTACTCTCAAAAAAGGTCACTAAAGGTCACTAAAAAAAACAAAAAACGTTTTATCTTACCCAAGTCGATCCTCCTCCTTCTTCCTCAGGTCAAAATCTCTCTGGACAACTTCCCACACATGTTTAGCCTCCTCATCTGTCAGCTTGGAAAGATCCAGCTTCTTCCCTGTTGTGGTGCCAGGCATAATTGTGAATGTTGTTGGCAGATGCTGGGCTATAGTGGGGGAATAAAACATAGAAATTAGTTGCTTTTTAAGTGAAGTTAAACGAGGCATTAACAGTGTTAAGAAATGTGTCAGCAACATGGGATGGATTTTACTTAAACACGATTATTTAATCTAATCTAATCTAATTTAATAACATACATCTGCAGTGAAAACACTACAGATGATAAAAATACTTCACTCAAAATCTGGTCATCTGCATTCTTCACTGCCTACGATTCTATACGTTAACGTTAAGAGCTGAAGTTCACAACATAACATCAGTGCTGAATCAGTTGGTCAAGGAATAGCATGACAGGTTCACGGTACAAATTCACTGCCATTGTAAAGGCACTGTGACATTGTAAAGACTGAAAGCAGACTAAGCATGAAAATAGACTAAGCATGTAAAATTTGCATGTGAATGCTTAAGAATAAAACATTTAAACATTTCCACGCAAGAGAGACTCAAAAAAATCCTAACTGTGTTTGAAAATACTTTCTGACAATCTGACTGAGGGAGATTTAGTTAAGACAGGGTTACAGTTTTCTTTTTTCCTTATTTGACAGACTGCAAGGAGGAATCTTGGTATGTCAGCTGCCAAACTGAAAGGCTAAAATGAAAGGTTTTACTTGGGGGGAACGGTAACAAGTTGTGACATCGACTTAACATCACCTTTTAAGTTAATGTGGTGAGCTTGTCAGCAAACAGGTGTTTATTTACACATCCAGCAGATATGCCCTGCCAGGTTGAGTTCAGTGTTATTTGAAGCATTCTGAACGCAACAATATTCAGTAGTGAAGCTTTAAACACAGGATTTATTAATATTAATTGTTGCCTATAATAATAAGTTGTTCGACATTGGTCTCCTATATGACCCTAGATGATTTTATACCTTTCACCTTTATACTATATGGAGCTTTAAGCATTTAAACAAATGGCATTGCTGCTGCTTTTTGGGACAATGCTTTCTTATACAGTGTACCTTATCATGTCATCTGTATGAAACTTTCTTGTGTTTGTGTTCCAGTCATTCTCAAGCTGTTGGTCATGAGATGTCTAAATCTTTCCTTTGTCAGTCTTTCATGTTGCTGGTTTTTTGTCCAAACAAAGCAGACCAGAATAATAGTATTGATCATGGGTCACTGACTTGGAGTGTTGGTCTAGATTAGCTGCTTAAAACCTGTCTGCCACATTGATCTGTCCTGTGATCTGTGGAGGTTTTGCACAATTCAACCATCACATTGCTGGAGGATTTTTTATCTCTTAAGTCACTGTTAATGGAGTCTACCCAAATATTTCACATGATCCAAGTTTCGTATTGCATGGGTTTCTGAGGATGAGGTCACTTTAGTCAAGCTGACAGAGTGATACACACATCTACACACACACACACACACACACACACACACACACACACACACACACACACACACACACACACACATGACCAGTAATGCTTAGGAACATCACATAATTGTCTTGTTTTCCACAGGCCATGTAAGAAAACTCAAACGATTGGGGAGCCTAATTTAATTTCTGCTTCTGCAAGTGAGCAATAATGGTAAAAACAAGCATGCGAGTTTGACAGAAAAACAAGTCCCATCATTCACTCAACCAGCTACATAATGTATTGCTTTCCCACAGTTAAATTCCTACACTTGAATAGCCATGCAGTATACAAGGGCTCCATATGTATTTGTTTAGTGGGTGTGCGCAACTTGTTATCTTACTGTGTTGTATTAAGGGAACATTAACAAAAAGAAATCCACTATAATATTCATTACAGTAGTTCATTCTTCATCTCTTTGAAAGTAAAATATTAATTATATACTATATCTTTAAAGGATTTTCTGCATTAAATTTGCTGTTGATGCACAACAACTCAACAGGTGCGCATTTAAAAGACTCCTTGTGTTTGCAAAGGGAAGGTTTGACTTGATAACATGTGTGGGCACACACAAACCTAGAATAGTTTTACCAGCAAAGAATATACAGAAATACAGATAAAGCATGCATTTTTAACTTTATTCCAATTCAAACCACTCTTACAGAATATAGCGGGGCACCATTGGAAATCTTTCAGTAGATTTATGAGAGCTCACAAAAGCTATTTCGCATTTGCTTAAAAAAAACAACTAGCAAATACTTGAATTATATGTCCAATAAGAGCATGGAGCACTCTCAGGCATGAGCTTCAGTGGCACAAATCTCAAAAAAGAAGCAATGATAGGATTGAAATCAAACACAGGCAGATGCTAACATGTAATTTTCATGTCTTAACATCATCATGACATGCGTGAACGTAAATATGACTTACCTTGGTGTTGTCTGAGAGTAGCCCTTGGGCAGTATTTCCTCTGAAGGCACACCAGGCTGACTGCAGGGCAAACTAAGTAGGAGACAGTAATGCTAATCACATGTCTAGTTAACCAGGAGGAAAAAAGCCAGAAAGACAAGCCTCCCCTCCGCCTCCCTTGACTTTTGCTTCAAAGGGTCAGACTATACTGTATGTGCCTTGCCCCTACTGGCCTCATTCACAGCAGATTTATTTTTGCATTTATGTCGGGAAAGTACCTGATTAACGGTACTTCAGTCAGTTTGTAAGCAATTATTTTTGGCATTTTGTTGCTGGGGCAGTATCCAAATGTGCAGTGATCATGAGGTTAAACAGAGGCCAGTTGGGCTGAAGTCCCCGGTCACATGTCATGGATCCTATGTTATAGGAGAGAGTGGTGAAGCATAACGTCGCCATTAATTGACAAGTGACACTTTTTTAAATGCTGATGTAATGTCTTTTATGGAAAAACATTGGGAGGACCACTAAAATGTAATGTTACAGCAGCAGCAAAACAATACAAAACCCTTTTTCATATTTTCTCCCTGTTCATAATTGATGCAGTTTGGGTTTTCAGGTTTTACCTGGAAGTAGAATATAGTTGTAAAACTGTATTTGCACAGTGGGTGGGTCAACCTTCTGTCATCAGTGAGGAATCATGTTCCATTCATGAAGCCAAATATTTACACCTGGGATTACAACTCAGAAGTTGCAAGTGTTTTTATATGTTGATATCATTCAGTTAATCTAATATGATGTGAACGCAGAGTTGGAAGGAGTAAGAACGGCCACAGGAAAATCCTGATCAAATATGACAGAAATGCACACTCTGAATCAGATAAGAAGAATCCAGTTGCATATGCAAATCAAACGGGCTGAAGTTGGAGCACTTTTCATTTTTCATTTATTTATCTGATTCTCCTCTCATAAACATAAGGACTAACTCTCATTTCCTCCCTCGCTGGTTTATATATTCTGAGAGGTTGATTTGAGCCATGTGACCCGTCAAGCAATCCAGTTTTCTTGTTTGCTCAACCACCGGGCCCTGTCATCCTCCTTTGCACTAAATACACATAAACACAGTCTCTGGAAGAGGTTAGTCACACACAGTGTTTTTACCCTTTACATTTTTGTAAGTTTATTACATTCTTCTTACTGCACAGTAGCTATTTTTTTTTTTACGCAAACACAATAAAGGCTGAGCTTGAATGGTATTGAGGGCTGTATCCTGCTCACTTGAAAAATAAACAACTTTACGTTTAAATGTACTTAGAGACAAATCACCCTTGTTCACCTTGGTCTTGTGTTTTAATACATGGGGAACTTATACAGTATATCGTGCATCTAACTTAAAGGTTCCCTGTGAGAGTTTTTGGCCACTAGTACTGCTGGCTTTCAGAATAGGTCCCATTTTTGTTTGGAGAGTGCACATGCATAAGGACGAACATGCACACATATAACCACATGGGTGATGTGATACGGATTAGTGCAGCTCATTATACACTATTCCACTGATTGACAGTTGGCAGAGGTAAAACCCAAAGACATGCAGCAATGTGTCAGGGAAGAGGACAACTGCCTGACAAGTAGTTGGATGTAAACTATGCAGGGTTTAAACTGTTTATAAAAAACAGCTTTGCAAATGCTTTTTGCAGAAGGATCAAAGTGTTTATTTAAATGTCAAAGACTCACACGATGTGCTTTGGTGAAAAATGAAGAATGTAAACATAATTTAGCAGATTACCAGACAATGTCACAAGGCAGCTTAAAAGAATAATAACACCCCCATTATTTTAGATCTAAAATAAATTCATTGAGTGTGTAAACTTAACATCTGTGTGTGTCATATTGACCTGTTCAGAACAATAAGTAGAAAATTTATTTTTAATGTTGTTAACTTGTTAACGTAAAATAATGACAGCAGCTTATAATATAAAACTGTACTGGGGGACAGTTCAGACCTAATAATTTTTCTCCTCATATACTTCAATTATTAAGTTTGAAATGATGGTCTGAATCACCAACTTCACTGACATTATCTTACACACGCTGCTGCACGTTTTTCATCAGCCGTGTTTCATAACCATTGATAATTTAAATATCTGCTGTATGTTATATATGTGGACATTTGTATGCTCAGTATGGGGACTTGAGTACGGTGGCCCTGAGAGCTCAACACACTGCAACTTACACACAAACAGAAGTGTCAGAAAAGATAATCAATTTTACAACATGTGTGCTGCCTGCAAATACTCACAACACAATGGGGGTGTTTCCAGCGGACACAAAAAAGTGAGGGCGGCATGTCATCCTCTCTCCGTGACTTTCCTGTCTGTCTCTCACTGTTGCTATCGGACTAAAGGCAAAAAAAAAAAGTGATAAATTGGGACACACTTGCACAGATGTATTTTAATACTTGTTCAATGCTTTTAACTTCAAAAGTCACAAAGCATTGAACGAGTACATCCCAGCCAGGTTGATCGCTTTTCAGTGTCTCCTGGAAACACTTCCATTGTGTTGTGAGTATTTGCATCACATGTGTTGTCAAACTGATGAAGATGTTTTCTGAATTTGGTTGTGTTTTGTCTATTTGAATGTGTTTTATTAAATTGCAGTGTTTTGAGCTCTGAGGGCCACCGTACTTGAGAAAAAAAATATTCAACATTGCTGGTCATGATGTAAGTTGCCAGATGAGTGTAAGTCCCCCCAAAACATTAAGAGCTTCAAACAGACACTCTTTGAATTCAGTAAGAAAAACAGTACAACAAAGGTTTGGCTTCTGCACAGTCAGTTCCTGCAGTTATCTCCTTGTGTATGTTAGCATTCAATTCCTCCTGTTTTTTTAATCTTGGATAACACCCAGTACAAACAAGCTAACGTGTATAAAAATCCTAGACAGCACGTGATCAACCAGTTTACTTGTTTGATTTTCCCTCTTCCTGTGCTGGCCTGCAGAATCCCCTCCAGAGTAACCCTCATATGAATATAATTCCCCAAATACCATATAGTATGTTTCATTTTGGAACAAATAACATTGCAGGGTTAAATTTATCTTTCTTGTACTCTTAATCATGCATGTTTGACATCATATCCTGTTTGCTCCATCCACTAATATTAAAAGATTAAATTTGTGTGCATACAATGAATTACGTCTTAAATTATCTGTAACCTTCTGCCGTGGCATGTGCAAACACTGCTGTAAAAGAATTGAGGAATTAGCAAAGAGAGGATGGCAAATATTATTTACACACACACACATGCTACACATACACAGGCAAAATGTAAATGCATTACTGGAGAGACTGACAGATAATGTGTTGGTGTATTTTTGATTGCAGGATTTAAAGTAGCTCACATATCTGTTTTGAACTATGTGCATCTAGTTTTGAACAAGAGTCTATAGCCATGCAAGCACAGGCTGTAGCCTACTTAGGCACATAGTACTTTGACCTACATTCATCAGCATGCCAACATGCTCACAATGGCAACGCTACTGATGCTCAGTGTGCATAATGTTTACCATGTTCATTATCTTATTCGTAAGTTGCTCATATGCTAACATCTGCTAATTAGCACCATAGACAGAAAATGAAGATGAATGTAGCCTCCGTGATGTCACCCACAGGTTTCTGAAGAGCAGTTTTGAAGCTCAGAGTGAGCTCTTCCACCGTCGCCATCTTGGCAGCGCCTGACGATTTGTGGAAAGCATACGCTCACCTGCCTGTCACTCAAAGAGGCCACCCCCCACTTACGCAGAACTTAAAGCCTTAATAAAATGTAAACAGGTGAGTTATATAAACAGTTGTCATGAAGGAGGAAATTAACTACAGACACCAAAACAGTTTTTTGTACCAGGCTGTAAATATTTGTATTGCAGCTGTAAAGTTGAACATTTTAACATGGGAGTCTATGGGGATGACTCAATTTTGGAGCCAGACTCTAGTGGTCATTAGAGGAACTGCAGTTTTAGCACATCCATGTTGGCTTCATCTTTCAGCCCCAGAGGTTGCTGCTTGATTAGCACAAAGTACAGCTGAAGCTGATGGGAATGTCATTAAGGGATCATGGTAATCCATTAAATAATTTCATAGTAATTTAATTATGAAGAAAAAATGTCTCATGTTGGTACTAGAGGAATCATCAAGGGTTGCAAAGATACTTTAGTTTGTACCAAAGTGGTGGACTGACTGACAGACATTGCCATCCATAGAAACATAGAATAGCTAACAAACATCATTACAACTAATTGCCATGCAACTGCTGTCCTAAATTTACAAGTGACCTCTTAGAAGGCTGGTACAAACCCTCCCCCTGTTGGTAAACAAACAGTAGTGAACTACACACTCAGCACACATGAGAGGCACTGACAGAGGCTATCATCCCTCCAGTTAAAACAATCTAAATCTTAATCAAGGAATTTCATAACTTTTCATTAATTTGTTTTTTCATTAGACATGCAATGAAGATAACAGTGAGGATTGTAGAGATAGGGATCACATTAGCCCACATTCATATCTGGTTTAAACTAGATCTCTGTCCCAAAGTGGAACCAAACAATTAGAAATGATGAGTGAAAGAATTTAGACCAACCACAGATTTCTTTTCTCTTGACCAATCATCATCATGTGGTTTCGGCGTCTCCTTGTGATGCCTGATTTTCGTCTCCCATTGTAAGATTAGGCCCCTCTAGTATAAGCATTCGCTTTGATAGAGACATACTGATTATCTCTTTGTGGTTTATCATTAGGCTGTTGGCCCTCCTTTCCAGTAATCACTGGAAAGCAGGAAAAGGGCCTGTTTTCAGTGCTGTGGTGAGGCTATAACAGGAGGAAATGGTCACCCCTCCACACCCTCCACCCGCCATAACAGTAGGAAATAGACACACAACTGCAAAAACAAGTATGTGTGAGCTTTTTCATTACACAGTAAAAAACATCCTCATGTCAATTTTTATGTCAGAATGCCTGGAAAGTTTTTGGTTTTGTCATAAATCTCATCTAGCATTAAATGGTAGGTGGATGGAGCAATGTTGTGGTCACTAA